TATGTCCCGGTTATTAGATTTCACTGAGAAAATTGAAAGTTTATTATCTTTTTTCTCTTTTTTAAAATTTTATTAATTAATTTATTTCTCCTCTGTTTCTGTTCAGAAAGGGGCAGGACTCCCATGGGTATTAACAAATTGCATGGTATGTTAAGTTGCAGTAAGACTTAGCACCTCCCCTTGTATTGAGGCTGGGCAAGGCAATCCAGTATGAGGAGTAGATTCCCAAGAGCCAGGCAAAGCATTAAGAACAGGCCCTACTCCAGTTGTTAGGGGTCTCACAAGTAGACCAAGCTACACAACTGTCACATATATGTAGAGGGCCTAGGTCAGTCCCATGCAGGTTCCCTGGTTGTTGCTCCAGACTCTGTGAGTCCCTATATGTAGAGGGCCTAGGTCAATCCCATGCAGGCTCCCTGGTTGTTGGTTCAGACTCTATGTGACTCTATGAGCCCAGGTTAATTGGTTCTGTTGGTTTTCTTGTGATGTCCTTGACCCCTCCGGCTCCTACAATCCTTCCTTACTCTCTTCAGCAGGATTCTCTGAGCTCAGCCTAATGTTTGGCTGTGGGTCTCTGCATCTGTTTCTACCAGTTACTGAATAAAGGCTCTCTGGTGACAATTGGGGTAGTCACCAATGTGATCACAGGAGATGGCTAGCTCAGGCTACCTGTCCACTATTGTTAAGAGTCTTAGCTGGGGTTATCCTTGTAGTTTCCTGGGAGTTTTCCTTGTACCAGATTTCTACTACAGAGCTATAGTAATAAAACGAGCCAGCACAGTATTGGCATAAAAGCAGACAAGTGGAGCAATGGAATCGAATCAAAGGCCCACACATAAATCCACACCCCTATGGATAACTGGTTTTTGACAAAGAAGTCAAAATTATACAATGGAAAAAAGAAAACGTCTTTAACAAAAGGTGCTGGCATAATTGGATGTCAGCATGTAGAAGAATGCAAATAAATCCATGTCTCAAGTCCAAGTGGATCGAAGATCTCAACACAGATCCAGTTACACTGAAACCGACAGAAGAGAAAGTGGGAAATAGCCTTGAATGTATCGGCACAGGAGACCACTTTCTGAACAACACAGACACTAAGATCAACAATTAATGAATGGGACCTCATGAAACTCAAAAGCTTCTGCAAGGCAAAGGACATAGTCAGTAGAACAAAACGGCAGCCTACAGAATGGGTAAAGATCTTCAGCCCCACATCCAACAGAGGACTGGTCTTCAAGATATATAAAGTTTTTATCTTTTAATTTCTAGCAATGAAATTGTGTGGAGCTAGGTGGAGGCTTATATAATAGTTGGTAATTGAGCTTCCATTCACAATTCAGTTGTCTATTACCTGACCCATTCTGAAACTTACCAATAATTCCAACCATTAGCAGCCTGAATGAAGACTGATCAGTTATGGAGAAGTCTGGGCCCCACATCAATAAGCGTGTATTCCATTACAGAATGGATATGTAGTAATTGCGTTGGTGTACTTAAGACATGGAACCCATCTAGATGAAAAGAAGGGGTCAATCTAGGCCTCCAGTATCCATGGGCCTTAGACATGACACCTCAATAGCACTACTAATAAAACACTAACAAATGGAAACATGTCCTGTACCCAGTGACTCATATCATTAAGCTAATCCCACAGTGGCTCCACCTTGCTGTTAGAAACAAGAGAGAGCGAGAGGAAAAGTAAATGCCATGTATGTCCATCTGTTTGGTAACCACAACAACCAGTCATAAATGGGAAGTAACAGACAAACGATTTTGTTGGAAACCAAGACCAGCCCTCTGGCTCCTAAACTATCAGCAGGGGCCTGGGAGAAGCAAATGGCCTTTGGGTTACGTGGGACCTCTGAACCTCACCAGCACCAATTCCTGTATGCCTGAGAGACAACAGAGCTATCGAATCGACAGGATGGAAAACCACCAGTTGGCATGAGGTGCCCTGGGAGCCAGGCAGGAATTACAGGATGATGTGTCAGAATCCAGGAAGTGAATGGAGCTTGCTTTGTCTTTGACATGAAAGAATACACCTAAACTCCAGCCCCGGACCTTGAGAGTCCAAACACCAAATCAGAATGGATTGTAGGGAGGACACTAGACCAGTGTCATCACTTGGTAGAGGATTATAATGAAAATCAGAGAGGAAGGAGACTTGGCCAAGGTCACACAAATATGGCTTATATTTCTAAGATAATTTTTTTTTTTTTTGAGAAATAGAGGCCAGATAAATGTAAACATTGGGAGCAACTGTAAACTTAAATAACTCATCCAGTGAAACACCAGTGGGTCTTTATAGATCTGTTCCCCTCAAAAAGCACAAACCCTATTATCTGATCCCATCTGGCACCAGCCCTGCCAATGGGTCTCTCTTCTTCCCCAGCTCTGACGCTTACCAAGGCAAAGCCCTGGCTACCAAGTGACTCACTTTGGAAACAAGCTGTGTGACTCAGTCTGTTCTCAAACCACTAGTCTAAGCTCCTGGAGACTTTGGTTTTATGACATCCACCAATAAGCTGGCATGAGAAGGACCCAACATGTGTTAAAAAAAAATAATTAAGTGAGCTGTAGATTTTTGCTAGATTGCATGACAGAAACACACAGAGGTTGATACACAGTACATACTTAACGAGGACCAATGTGGCATGTGCCATCCATTGTCACCCTCACAACAACCCAAGGATAAAAATGACAATGTGACAGTTTGAGACAGTGAGTGTCAGAGATGACAAGTAACTAGGAATGGAGTTTGGGGGAGGTTACCCTTGTTTGCTTTGCCCCTTACACTTTCTTCTCAGCCCTCACGCCCGGCTGCAGTTCTTACCATGTGTTTAAGGCACAATTACCTGTGTTATTTTTTTATAATCTCCCTTCCCTTTCCTCGCTCCAAGCCCTCCTATACACCCCTTCCATGCTCTCTTTCAAATCCATGACCTCTGTTTTTATTAATTGCTGTTTTGTGTGTGTGTGTGTGTGTGTGTGTGTGTGTGTGTACATGTATATTCCCAAATATATAAATACAACCTGTTCAGTCTGTGTAATGTTACCGGCACGTATGTTTTCAGGGCTGACCATTCGATATTGGATGACCCGTTGGTGTGTTCTTCCCTAGGGAAGACTCTTTCTCCCTCCCTTAACACTCCTTAACTTTTCCCTGGCCACATTAGCATATCTATTATTGTTCAGCTCATACTTAGGCAGTCTTGTCGGTGAGACTTCATGGGTGTCCCATCTAACATTCCTAGGAGACTCAGTTCTGTGCTGTTGCATCAGCACTACAGGTCTGTGGAAGAGTACCAATGTTACTTAGCATATTTAAACAAAAAAGGTGAGCGGGCAAGATGGCTCAGTGGGTAAAGGTTCTCGCCATCAACTTGACAACATACATTTGATCCCTAGAATCAGCATGGTGGAAGGAGAGGCTGCAAAAAGCTGCCCTCTGACCTTCAACTACATGATGGGCAGGTTCACACATACTCATGATAGATAGATAAGTAGATAGATGATAGATAGATAGATAGATAGATAGATAGATAGATAGATAGATAAGTAGATAGATAGATAGATAGATAGATAGATAGATAGATAGATAGATAGATAGATAGATAGACAGAGACACACACACACAGACAAACAAATCTCGCCTGGGGTATCTTTCTTAGTATGTCAGTGACAAGGACATCTATCTAATTGGCTGCTGGGCCTCATAGAAGAAACGAAAGAGCCTAAGTGCAAAGTACTTTGGATAAGTTATTGTTATAAAGTCTTACTGACATAAAGTGAAAGTAAGTTCACCAGATGTTAAGAGATATTAAGAAGGCCAAAGAAAAGCTACCCCAATGAACTGAAACAAGTATATCCCACTTCTGAGCTTGCAGTAAGAAAAATACCTAAATAGTGCATGCAGCTTTTTAGCCTCACACAAGTTTTTAGAGCACAATTTCCTTCAAACCAACAGTGATGACCATGCCTTTCCCCCTTTACTTGGTGTTTCTCAGGCCGTAACACATGTTGGGCGAAGTAGAACAGCCTGTGTGAGAGACTGTGAATTACTCTCCCACAGCTATTTGGAAGAAGGCGCTCCAAGGTACCTGAGTGGGGAAGTGAGCTTTGAACGCGGGTCCTGCCTACTCTCAGACCCACTAAGCCCACCATTTTCCCCGTGCACCACAGCTCACTGTGCTTTTAGCAGGTTTAGAGGGTGGTATTGCTTGCTCGGGAGCAGAGAGAGATGTGGGCAGAGTTAATGTGGGTGTGCTGTCTGCTGAGGAGAACCCCGCTGGTAGTGTGGCTCCAGGTTTGCTCTAGCACTGTCTTGGTGTCTGTGTGTGGTCGCCCTGCTTTCCTGAGTACTACCCCTTATTTCCTCATTCCTCTCTCCAGCACATTCTCTCACAGCGCTTTTTATGGCCTTCTTTCCTGAAATCCTTCTCTCAGCCTGAAAGACCTCTCCTCTCTCCCTGACTCCACGTCCCCAATTTTCCCCTAAGACTCCCACTCACTCCGTAAGCTAACAGGAAAGGGTAGCCCGGCCTCAAAAGGTAAATTATCAAAAGAAGTTACGACTGGGATCTGCATGACAGTCTTCACACCCTTGGATAATGGGGAAGTGTAAGGATTTAAGGAACGGGCTCTAAATCCAGGCTCTGCTGTAAGGGACAGTGTCACCCTGGGCCCGGAACCTCATTTTTATATAAGCTTCAAAGTAGCCACCAGTCTTTAAAAATCCATCATGGAGATGAGAGGAGATAATGCTGGGTAGGGACCTGTGGAAAAATAACCAGGATGTGTATAACACCAGCCACTTGCCCCCACTTCTCCCATCCCAATTCTGATCTCTGCAAAAACATCCTTTCTCTAAAGCCATAGCCTCTACTTACCCACCCACCCCCAGGTCCCCTACAGACTCATTCCCAATGGAATCTCCTTCCCTACAGTATCACCTATATCCTCTTCCATCCCACTCATAATTCCTCTTAATAATTTACCTTTTACGGACAACATCACACTTGGTATCCAATGTTAGAGACTTCTGACACCACCAGAAGTGGCCCTCTGACACCGTCACAGCCACCAGACCATGCATCCTTCCATATTGCCTCCCTGCATCATCCTGTCCTTCCCATAATCTTACTGCCATCCCTGCACACTCTTTCATCCTGTGGCTCCCTTTCCAGCCTTTCCCGTTGATGCCTTTGTTGCCATTGTTGAAGGGTCCTTTCCTCTCATCTGCCGAAGCATGGCTTCTCCAGATGTCTCTTATTCCTGGTCGGTTTTCAATTCCCACAGGCCTACCTACTTTTCAGATTATATTATTACACATGTGTACTTCGTCTCTAAGATATGAGCATCTCAAGCATGTCTCACAAGTACATGTGCATCTCCTTACAATACCAGGTAGAGAGCCAGACATAGAAAAGGCCCTCAGAAGACATGCATTGATGATGGATCAGTCTGGTTTAGTGAAAGAGCCTGTCTGCATGGAGAACTGCATGAACGAACACTTCCTTGTCCTTTACCATGTGCCAGGCAGTGAATTTAGTGACAAAAGGGATGAAATGAAGTGGGGAAAAAAGTAGTCATCTACCTCTATATCCAACACTGCACACAGATTTTTTAAATATAATCTCCAAAACAGCTCTAAGCAGGATAAATACAAGTATGCCTATTCTGCAGTTGGAGAAACTAAGACTTGAAGAAGTTAGGAGCTGCTGTCTTGGTGTGTTTTGTGATGCTATGACAGAATACACAAACAGGATCATTTATAAAGAGTAGAAATCTACGTTTTCCTGTGTGTGAGATCCAAGATCAAGGGGTTGGCATTTGATGAGAGCTTTCATCCGCACTAGTGTGCAGATGTAAGAAGGGAGGGGGAAGGAGATAATGAGAAAGTGAGGAAGAGAAGGGGGAAGGAGGGAGGAAAGGAGGGAGAGACGACTGAATGTAACAAACTCTAGAAATAATCAATCTATTCCAACAATAAAATTAACCCATTCATGAGAGCAGAGTCCCCAGGGGTTATGATGCATTGGGATCAGTTTTGTAGCACAGGAAGCTTGGGCAAGTGAGTCACTGTGTTACTTCCCCACCAAGGAATTGTAAGGAAATATCTATAGTCCAAGTGGGGCGCCAGCAGACAAAGAAAGGATCATCCAAGTCTAACTTGGTGAACCAATGGTGAACTTACAGGACCAGGAATGACTAAAATGTAACCACATCACCTTCCCTGCACAACTTACAAATCACTGTACCACTAAAGAGCACACACACACACACACACACACACACACACACACACACACACCAGCAATTACAACTTCAGCTGGGCAGAGGTAGTTTATGAACCTCATGAATTCCGCCCCCTTCCACACATCAATCAGTTTGATCTCACAAGGGTGCCACGTATGATCACAGTTTCAGGGATGAATATGTCCAACTTTGAGTCAAGACCTATTCTACGGCATTCAGATCACATCACTTGCCTCTTGCCATCCCAGAAATGGATGTCAGAATTGAGTACATCTCATTTGCTGATTAATTCAACTAATTAAAGCTCCTCTTTTTTCTATTTTTATTTATTTATTTGTTTGTTTACCGATTCATTTTTCCTTCCAAATTCATTTACAGTTTCCAGAGTCCTAAAAATAATTCTAGGTAAGTCAAGAAGTCAGTGAGTGTATAAACCAAGGTCTGTGCCCTACTGCCTAAGAATCAGTTTGTTATATTGAATACAAGGAAAATGAAATCTATCAATATTGGCAAACATTTTGATGGGATAGGTTCCTCACAAAGATCAAAGTTGATTTACATAACCAAAATAGTTTTGACTTTTAAAATAATAGAAAAGTTCAATAAAGTTTTTGTTGCTTTCACACACATTTTAAAAATATATATTTTAAGGTATTTAATGATCTGTGCTAACTAGAAGTAACCATGTCTACAGCATCTTTCATTTGTAAAAGCTATGAAATTGTAAGTAGAATACTACTTCTTTCTTATTTAACTTACAGTGCAACAGGATGCATGTTGAGATACATATAATGATGGAAATTAAATAAAGCAGTCTTACTTATTAAAACAATTAACTCTGTAAGGTGGGAATGAAGTAGAGGCTCAGTTACCTCACTGAATCACCCAGAATTTGGACCTCAGCCAAACACATTTTTTTCACTTATTTGATAAGTAATTTATTGGAATCTACCCCATACAAGGCATTCTTCCAGGCTCTGGAGATGGGATGATGAAGAAGGCAAGCAAATTCTCTTCTCCTTCAGGTCCTGCGTTCTGCTGTGAAGCAGCAAACAGAAAAGGAGCAAGCTAATGAACAACAAAATGTAAGTATGATGAAACCACAGAATCAAGGCGACAGAAGCAAGAATCAGTAGCGGATGGGTGAAGTAGTGAAGTAGGAGCTTGAGGTCCAGAGACGGAGAATGAACTGGCCAGAGACCTAAGTAATGAGAGAGACTGAGTCATGGGGCGGGGGAGGGGGTGAGAGCTACGAAAGTCTACCTAGAGACAAAACGACAGTAAGAGCCCTACAGCAATAAGCTTGGTGTCTTTGCGAAGGGCCAGTGTGACCAGAGGGGAGCAACGAGTAGAAAGACAGGAAACTAAGTTAAAAACTCAGGAAGGGCAGATCTCTGAGCCCTAGGAGTCCATTTTCTTCTTCATGTCTTGGGAAGTCATTGGAGGGATCTGAGCAGTGGAATGGCACATATAATTTATGCTTCTGGAAGACGACTGCCTAAGCAATTATTGCACAAAACTGTGGTTTCTGAAGTAAGTGGAATTTTGTGGCTGGTCATGGTTTAGCTGGTGTGGTATGAATGTTCATCTGAGCTGAGATAAGCCAGCCCTGCTTCTACAAAGGAGAAGCCATCCTGGTGATAGTAAATATATGTCTGATTATGCTGCAGGCAGGAGCTGGGAGTTGTGTAAGTTTGCATTTTCCAAAGCGCCTTCTGTGAGCACGAGTTTCAAGGTGTGTGAATCAATGTTACACAAGGAAAAGCTGAGTCAGCATAGGTAACGCTCTATTCAGCATAGGTAACGCTCTATTCAGCATAGGAAACACTCTATTCAGCACAGGTAATGCTCTATTCAGCATAGGTAACGCTCTATTCAGCATAGGAAACACTCTATTCAGCACAGGTAATGCTCTATTCAGCATAGGTAATGCTCTATTCAGCATAGGAAACGCTCTATTCAGCATAGGAAACGCTCTATTCAGCACAGGAAACGCTCTATTCAGCATAGGAAACGCTCTATTCAGCATAGGTAACACTCTATTCAACATAGGTAATGCTCTATTCAGCATAGGTAACGCTCTATTCAGCATAGGTAATGCTCTATTCAGCATAGGTAACGCTCTATTCAGCACAGGAAACGCTCTATTCAGCATAGGAAACTCTCTATTCAGCACAGGTAATGCTCTCTTCAGCACAGGTAATGCTCTATTCAGCGTAGGTAACGCTCTATTCAGCGTAGGTAATGCTCTATTCAGCAAAGGTAATGCTCTATTCAGCAAAGGTAATGCTCTATTCAGCGTAGGTAAGCATAGCTCAGCACCAGAGAATTCATAGCCTCTTCAGAGTACTCAAGAGGAGGCTGCAGCTGGCAGCACGCTGGGATCTTTTGGCTGCAGTGTTTTTTCCACATTAAAAAGAGATATGCGACTGGGCGGTGGTGGTGCACGCCTTTAATCCCAGCACTCCGGAGGCAGAGCCAGGCCGATCTCTGTGAGTTCAAGGCCAGCCTGGTCTACAGAGTGAGATCCAGCACAGGCACCAAAACTACACAGAGAAATCCTGTCTCGAAACACACAGAGAGAGAGAGAGAGAGAGAGAGAGAGAGAGAGACAGAGACAGAGACAGAGACAGAGACAGAGACAGACAGAGAGAGACAGAGACAGAGACGGAGAGAGACAGAGAGAGAGACCAGGAAACCCCATCGAAAAGATTCCATCTTAAAACAAGCAAAGATTTATTCAGAGTTGAAAACAGTGCTGTTGCATAATAACCTGTAAAGCCAAGAATTTGGGTATTCTGGGTTACTATAAAACCATGTAAATAACTGATATGCTGGAGTGCGTAATCAACGAAGACGTAAGGTCACTTTTCTGTCCTGTGTAGAACAGGATGAGCTGTCCCAGAGAGAGAGAAGTGTCCTTGCACCGTGGTGGCTCTGGTTGCAGAAGAGGAGAGGAAAGAATGAAAGCAACCCAGAGGGAGTGGGGTTTGGGGGGAGAAGGGGTTGGGGAGTGGCCGGTGGTCAAACACTTCAAGGACAAAGTGAGAATGGAGCATAATGAAGAATGAATGCAAGACCAGGAGCTCTGAGATGGCCTCAAGTCCCCCCCCTTGGCTGGAGGACATTGAAGAAGAGCAGGGAAAGGCTATCACTGTGCAGCCTCATCCCAGCACTACTTGTAGTGTGCAGCCAAGTGTTAGGGACAGATGGGTGTTCAATACGTGCTCTCAAGGTGAGTGACGCCAAAATACATACACTCAAATTTCTAATGAGGGTGTTTCGAAGTTAAACCATAATTAGACATTACTCATTTGACACTGAATTGCCTTTCTGCCTAGAGATATCTCCATGGCATCCTACCAAACTGCCAGCTCTGCTCTTGAGTAAGTCCCTTTGTTGAAGTACAGTTGCTTTTAACTGACATCTGGTCATGTTCTGAGCTGCCTGCGTTATTTAGGGTATTTGTATATTCTTGGTTGTTCTTAAACTGAAAAGGGATCAAAGAATGACAGGGGAAATAGAGCCTTGTAGATCACTTTCATTTCCCTCCTAATGAAAAGAAGCAAGCCTGTCTCTTTCTAACTGAAGTATCACAGTTAGACTGCCTTTACCAAAACATACATTGAAATTTAATCCCATTGTGAGATATTAAGAAATGGGACTTAAATTAGTAGTTGGGCCATGAGGGTTCTGACCTCATGGATGAATCAGTCTATTCTGAATTAATAGATTAATGGGTTAATGGATTATCTCTAGAATACATCTGTTATAAAAGCCTATTTGGCTCTATCATTGCCTATACCTCCCTCACAATGTAGTGCTCTACACTATCTC